CCTTCTCCGCCCCCCCCCTTGTTTATTTGTCCTTCACATTTTCTGCATTTCTTTCCTCTCAGTTGTTCACAACTGGAAATTTAAGATGTACTAACATCTGCTGCTAATAATCACCTTTTTGCTTTTCACGTGCTTCGAAACAACAAACAAGTTAGTTATTTGCTAATTTGATTTACGCATTTTGCTATGGAAAGCTGAAATCGATAACTGAACCGACGTCAAACCTAATTTTTCTTTTGAAAGAAGCTTGAAACGACACAAGTTTTAAAAAAAGACAGTAAATTAACAGTTGATGATTACTTTTGTCACTTAGGTACATAAACAAACCAGCTGCTATAATTGAATAAATGACTATTTTATGGACAGCAGCCAATCAAACAACTGGGCAACCAACTAAGCAACTAACCAAACAACCAACTAAGAAGCCATAAGCCTAACCAATAAATCGACAAAGAGCAACCAAATAATTATCATCATGAAATGCATATTATTTTCTTTAAGGCCAAACCAGCATTTACATTCTCTCTCTCTCTCTCTCTCTCTCTCTCTCTCTCTCTCTCTCTCTCTCTCTCTCTCACACACACACACACACACACAGCTTACAGATACAGTTGATCTCATCGCGAGTAAATTACTGTTCATTCTCTCCTCAACTGCTACAACAATCGTTTCCCTCTTCCCTCACCAGGCCCCCACCCTCTGGGCCCACGCATGGGTCTGCCCTCACCGAAGCCACCGCCCTCGCCCCTGTCCTCGCGGGGGGAGAGCCCAGACACACACCAGTCCGACCTGGTGGTGGATCGGCCCCATGTCGTGGAGCGCATGGGTTCGCCTCCCTTCAAGCGGCCGGCCCCGGACATGTACGACTCCACGGAGGAGGACAACGACGAGTGCCGGGCCGGGGTCAAGGACGACAGCAACAACAGCAAGGACGACAGCGACGACGAGGAGAGGAGGAAGCAGAGGAAGAAAAAGACGAGGACCGTGTTTTCCAGAAGCCAGGTAATTGTTGGAGAAGTGCTATGTGCTTGTATTGCTTTCGAAAAAGTAACCCCCCCCAAAAAAAAACCAAAAAAAAAAACCAACAAAAAAAACCAAAACCCCCAAAACCCACACACCCTCTTAAAATAAGGGAAATGTAAATGAAAATCAAACAAGAAAAAATGACCAAAAGTAAGAATGCCTCCCCCCCCCCAACAAAACAAAACAAAATTTACGACAATGAAGTACATTTGTAGCTCAAACAATATAACAATAATTATGGAAATCTGATATGTTATGTATTGACGCGCCACTCTTTGGTCATCACAGCGGAATTCAAAGATCTTGTACAATAGTTTCAAAGTATAAGGCTTATACAAGTACATTAATTCGAATTTCAATGACCAATATGGCTTTTAAAAGTAAATGATACCCTCGGAAAGGAAAAAAAAA